TGTCCAACTCTTGGTACGAATTGGCCTTCAGTTCGGCCTCTCGTAAGGCATTCATGTCTTTTTTGGCCAACTCTTTGATTATCGACTCGAAGAACCGGATCTCCAGAGGAATACACATCGACATCAACCCACACATCAGTTCAATCCGTTTGGCTCCCGATTGCTCCTTAAACCAACTGAACACCTCTTCCTTGTATACCATTATCTTCACTATTATCTCAGCGATGGTCACAAAACAGTTATTATTAATACTATTATTATGACAATCAATGTATAAAACAATCGATGGTTTGTATAAAATCTATATTTATATTATAATTACTATTCAAACTAATCTTATAATCATTAAAACATATACTGTTTCAGTGGCTATCACTCAATGCAATCAACACTACTGTTCACCACTTAATCGGCGTTCAAATCATACGAATCACCACTAATTTAGTGAACAATTTGTGTCCGATTTTAGTGCTCTTTCAGTGTTTGTATCCAATTGTAAGCAATGAAGGCATGAATACAACAATCCATACATTCATACATCCATTCACTCCTCACTACACGAACTGATTCGCAGTCATATAAACGACATTAACTCACACTCTCTCCCATAGACATACACCTATTCATACACTATGTATGCATTCACACACTATGTATGCATTCACTCATTCATCCATTCACTCAATGCATTCAATGCTCTCCCAAAGCACTCTCCCTCTCATCGCCACACCAATGACGGCAACACTCATGCATTCACTGCTCCACTCATTCAATGCAAAACCCATTCAACACAACCACTCAAAACGATTTCATATTTCTATTTTCAATTCATATTTAGTTTTAAATACAATTAAAATGTAAATATTATTAGTATTAACACAAAAACAATTTTAATACTCATTCAAATGAACACAAATGTTTAGAAACTGAGTTTTAGTTATCTCCAACACTTTTATACCCTTTTGATAACAAACAGTGCGTTGAATTGATTAGTGAATGCATGGTATAATAAGGGAAGAGATGTGGTGCACAATAGAGTGGTACTGTGTGTACGACCTAATGGTGGTTGACCGTGTGTTTAGTGACACAAAGATGGCTGACTTTGGCAGTGAACCCATCGTTGACGGCAAGCCTTTGTATTCTTTGCGTGTCATCGACTTGAAGGAAGTGCTCACGAAGAGGGACGTCCCCTTCAAGAAGAACGCAACCAAAGCACAGCTCCAGGCGATTGTCATTCAGGTATTTAACAGATCCCGTGTCCGCTCTCTTGGCATCGCTTTTCCCATCCATTTAATCCGTTTTCTTGTCTTTTGGCCATAATTTCTAATTCTTGTCAACTGTTTGTCCATTGATTACAGCATTTGAATGAAGCGAATGAAGAGAAGTCGAGTGAAGGCACGATTCAATCCGAAGAGACCAATGAATCGATTAGTGACACAAACCCTGTCCTCACGACTGAAGACAATAAGACTGAGAATAACGTGAGTAAAGAGCAGACGGAAGCGACTGATTTGAGTCAAGACACGGGCATCACATCGTCGGTCTCTTTCGGCGACAAGCATTCAATCAAATTAACGATTAAATTACAGCCGAATGAGAGTCCGAACAGACAATTGAGTCCAAGATTGAGTCCAAGGAAGTCGTCGCCCGTCAAAGAGATGAGGTCTCCAGTGATGGTTAACACGAGTTCTACCGATGAGATCACTATAGCGATGGTGTCACCGAAACGTTCAGTTATTCAAGAAGTCATACCACAAGCTGTGACCCAAATCCCGCCTAAAGTGGAGGCGAAAGGGGAAACGCCTTCTGAAGTACTGCCGCAACAGAACATTGTGTCCAAAGTGACTGAAGAGCCAAAAGTGGTGAAAGACGTGACACCAGTTGTACCAGAAGTGAAACAACTGTCTGAAGTGAAAGTCGACAAACAAGAAGTGGTGGAAAAGAGGTTGTCTTCATCTGATTCAACAGATTCGAGTGAAAAGTCTGCAGAAGTGACGAACGATTTACAAGACTTGAGGACACAAAAAGAAGATATTAAGACAACTGGTGGTGACATCAGTAGTGATGTAACGAAAGAACAAATAACAAAACCTACGGATAAGGTGTCTGTGAAAGGGATCGTTAAGCAAATTGAAGAGAAAACTGAAAGTTTAGCCGAAAAAGAGAGTAAAACTCTGGAGAGAGAAGAGAAGAGGAAAAGTCCAGAGAAAGTAAGACCTCCTCGAAGAAGGCGTTGGGGCGGATCCGTCACTAACGAAACACAACAACAAAATGCACGCAAAGGGATATCGAGTGATCAGCTGAAGGAACTGATTCCTGAAGTGGACTCAACAGCGGGCGGGGGTTTGGGTGCCGACAGTTCTCGTGCAGCAAAGGTGAGTAAATCCGATACGAGTATTGTTGTGACGAGTAGTCTCTCTCGGACACAAACAACTGCCGCAACCGCAGAAATGCCGGCAAAGCGAGACATTCGTGTTGTCAGGAAATCAGTTTCTGTTCCAGAAGATGAACAGACCGTTAAAGAGACGGCTAAACCGCAGCCTATTCTCGAACCTAAGAAACCAATAGTTGTCGAAAGTGAGCGCAAAAGTGATGAACAGTTGGATGAGACGCCCGATTTGAGTCCCGCGCGAAACGAAGCTTCAGAAGTGGTGTTCATCCGAAACCTCGTCCGTCCCTTCACTTTATTGCAATTGAAAGACATTTTGGGAAAGACTGGAAAACTGATTGAAGAGCGCTTTTGGATCGACAGAATCAAATCCAAGTGTTTCGCCACTTATGCCACCGTCGAGGAAGCGGTTGCCACTCGTTTGGCACTACACGGCACCCGTTGGCCCAACTCTAACCCCAAACTACTGAGCGTTGACTTCGCTCGCAAAGAAGAATTGGACTTTCATTTGAATGGAGAGCTGACCCCTAATAAAGACATTGTTGTCAAGAAAAGTGACGACAATGTTGTGAACGAAAAGTACGATATTGTTATCAAAACAGAGGATAATTCGCGTGAACCGGACGCCAGAACCGAAGGCCGACCCATCAGAGAGTGGGACAGAGAGAAACTGATGGCCAAAGAAGAGGACAACAAACGAGGGACAGCCAAACGAAGGCCTATTAGTCCGACGCCGAGAAGTGGGAGCCGGGAAACAGATGCTAAACGCCGCAGAAATGGTATTCATTGAATTGTTTGTCTAGTTTTTTATATATACTGTGATCTAAAATGTATTTAATTTGATGAATAGATTCGGCGCGAACTGAAGAACGCGTTCGACCGGCGGACTCGACATCAGAAGTGCCGGCAACCGATGCAACCCATGAAACGGAATCTCCGGCCAAACTGTTGGACGACTTGTTCAAGAAGACGACCGCAACGCCGAGTATATATTGGTTGCCATTGACTGAGGAACAAGTGGTGGTTCGCGACGCCCAGAAGGCTGAAGACGACAAGAAGAGACTCGAAGAGAACAACGCCAGAGAAGAGCAGTTCCGTCAGCGACAAGAAGAGAGAAGACCTTTCGAAGCGTCCGCTCCCTTCCGAAATGTATTACACTTTACTAATGATTAATGAATTGATATTATAATTAATAATATAAAGCAATTTCAGAATCGAAATCAACGCAACTCTCCCCCAATGAGACGGGGGTTTGGACGCCGGGGGTCACCACCGCCTCGTCGTTCACCTCCACCTTTCCGTCAGCGCCGATCCCCTCCCAATCGATTTTCACGATCCCGTTCCCGATCTCCAGTTATGCGAAGAAAGCGATAATCAGATATTAACCCAAAATATGCTTCTCTACTGAATACTACAACCGAATTATCTTTTATTCCGACTCTTCCTCCCTATGAATGACAACAAGAGAACCGATGGTTAGTAGTGAATGCGCCGACAATCGAGCGAATCGTTCAAACGAAACTTCATTGACTTAATGGTAATAATAGTTGTCTTCGTTTTCTCTTCTCTTTTCTCAAACTTTTCCCAAATTAATGAATGTGTGAATGAATGAGTGATTTAGTTGTAGTGTGTGTGAAGTGTTTGTGTTGAATGAATGTATGTATGATTTTGTTAGTGTGTTGTTGAATGAGAGGTAGTGTTCAGTAGAGGCGCATATTTTTTTCTCTTACAGAATATTTGACATCAAAATTCAGGTTATTTAACATCAGATCCACACAAATGTTTGAAAATCGCAATCAAACCCCAATAATAAGCTTTTAATAAATATGACAATACCTTTGAAGCGACGACTAGGAACAGAATAAGAGCTAAAGTATTATCACAAAAATTTGGTGTAATTCGTGATTAGATTACGAAATAATTTGGAATTATTTTTGGTTTTTGCAAAAACAAAAGCAAAACAATACATGAAATGAACTTCAATTAGAATGACATTAGATTATCATCTCTTAATTTATCAATAAATCGCAAACCGATGCTTTGTCTGCAGTTCTCAACAATAATTATATGATTTTTTGCACTTTTCATTTAAACATTAAGTTTTTTAATTAAAAAAATATAATTTTAAGAACTGTTTTATGTCTTGTATTATATATAAAAGTACTAAAGACTTAAACTTGTGTCTAAAACACGAAATAAAATCAGATTTGAAATCGTATTTAATTGACTGATTTATTGGCGACTCATTGCAAACAGAGCGCAACCGATGGAGTATTGCTTTCAATGAGACATTAGTTTTTGATATTTTATTTTATTGTCTTAAAAAATAAAAGAATTTTTA